TTTGAAACTTACACTGTTGTTGAATCTTAGCTTATGCATTACATAGGCATCTCAATGTAATTAGGTCTCAAAAAACGTATTTAACACAAAAAAATGGTTAGCTTAGTAAAGAGAAAAAACGTAAGCTCTGACAAAGAAAAATGAAATTAATTATTGGATATATTTTCAACAGTATGTTCTGTAAACGTTTCTTTTAGTCGTGGTCATATTTTAGACTTTACTTCGGTTTTTTGTCAGATAACTCTTGTTTATGTATCTGTATGATTAAAATATTACATTGTTTCGATTCAGATGCACAAATTTATGATTGTGAGTAGAATTTTGAGAGGTAGGATGAGGATAAATGTTAAGTTTGTAAAGTTAAGTGCTTAAAAAGTATCCGTATTATGTGTCAGGTCTAATGGCACAAAAATGTAAAAAGTAACAAATAAATATAAATATAAAATTTAAAAAATATATATATAAATATTGATAATGAAACCTTTGCATAAATTATGGCCAGGAGATGGTGCCATGTCAATTTAACACGTAGATTTACGTACCTTGTTATTGATCATCTTTAAACGTATTTTGCGGGAAAAAAAAACATTCCACTTCAACCCACAGGTATTCAAAAGTTAATATTAAAAAGATGCTTGGGTTTCTCATTAAAATTGTCTCTATAATCTTTTAAGACCAGCTCAAGATATACAGACAATATGTTGAAATTCCCATGGGTATTTCCCATGGGTGAGTTTTTATTCTTAGGATGCAAAATTTATTCAAAAGACTTCTATACGAAAAGAAGAAGTGTCTTGCTGTGGCCTTCAATTCGAAATTTAGATATTTTGTCATATTTATCATAATTTTTTCATCAATTAACAATATTCATTTTCATTCTAACGCTGAATCGATACATCCCATCGACCTCGAAATGAAAATATCAGAATAAATGTATTGACGTATTAAAAGTGATAACTTTTCCATCGCCAATTCCCCTTATCCATAGAGAATTATATCATTATCACCTGCATATAAAGTTTTTTTCCCCAGTTGATTCGATACGCAGGAACACGTTCTACGAAAGATCAATTTCTAAAAAGATGCAGGCTATTGAAAAATAAGTTGATGATACAAGGATATCAACAATCTCGTTTAAAGTCAACATTATATGGTCGATATAATGATCTGGTTTGCCTTCAATCTGTTGTTAGGGGGGCTCTCTACAACGTCACAACATGGCGTACTTTCGTTCGAAACGCCATTAATATTGTGGTCCGAAATGATCAGATTTTGTCCTAAACAATCTCACTCTACACCGATAAATTACCTGACATAACACAACATACACTATTGTGAGCGGAATGTATCCCCAAGAGGCGACAAGAGTGGCCAATAAACCCATTCTTTAACCATGAATTGTCTGTCAATATATTCAATTTCAACATTTTTCAAAGACAATATATTTGTAAACCTTTAAAAATAAAATATGATTATAAGTAATAAAAAGTGATAAATAATCAAACCGTTGTCAACATAATATCTATTCATAAAATGCTGAACCCACTCAAATGTTTCCATAAAAACCTTAATTGATGCTTTTTCCAGCAAAATATATACCAAAAATGCAAATTTAAATAGGAAAGGCCTATCTGCTACCTTCCAAGTGGATACAACCTGTTCCAAAGTATACATTCTGCATGTGTGGTTTTACCCGATGAAATTAAATCTCTTCATGAAATCATCAAACCGCTTCAATAATAAGTGGAATTGTATTAACTCAAAAGTTTGATAACATTGACGATCAGCTGTTTCGTATGGAAACAGATTAGAAACGAAGTATGAATTTCGTGGTACAAATTCCTTTTACCCGCTTTTGACCATTTATGTTGTCATGTCATCTATAGCAAAGGATAATACATTCAAGTTGGATGAAAATGGTAAGTAAATCTACCTTTCTCAATATCTTCTATTCACTTTATACATGTCTCTATCTTTGACTAGAAACGTGTGGTTATTCGCATTAATTCCTCTGATAAACAATAAGAACTTTGTCCTCGTTTAGCATGTCCTTACCAATTCTTTTTTTTCAGTACTTGTGTAAGTTTTATATGATATTAGATTGATATAAAAAAAATTGTTATCAAGATATAAGAATTCTTTTTAAACAGATTTTTCACATCTGAATTTTTGGTAAGTTTGAAATTTTTGTTAGCTTTTTTTTCGTCACTTTAACCCTTTGATATTACTTTTATTTTCAGATTTTGAAGGAAATCCATCCAGTTCCTCTCGTGAAAATGACGTTTGTTTCTGTTGCATATTAATTCAAATAAAAATTATGCTGATTATATTTATGACTTTGTTGGGTTTCATTTCAAGTTTTTATAACATTAAACTTTGAACAGAATTTTAAGGCATTGTGTCTTTAACAATATAGAAATACGAGGTTTCTACAAATAGAACCAATTATTTGAATATTTCCACAAATTAAAGTTTTATTCTTTGGAGCTTTATTTTATTGGATATTGAGTCTATTATCAGAAACAAATGCATGGAAGAAAAACCTTAAGTCGTATATTTCCTGACATCTTTCATACGAATTATTAGGCCATTATTTTAAAACTTAATTCTGTTTGATCGATAATTACAAAGAGCATACAGTAGGCCAGACCATGCAGTCATTAGGAGGATGCTCACTCCTTTACGGCACCTGATCAAATCTCTGTTTTCAGAAGTGGAGTTTTCTCCGTTTACAATTGGAATTGTTAGATTAGCCTTTGAGCAAGAAGACTGTTCATAATTATCTTCATATTACATGTAAAATAATGCCTGTCGTTCTTTTTTTTTTTTTTTAGGATACTTTAGATCGCGATCGCGATCAAAGAATCTCGCGGATTTTTGAAAAAAAGTTAATAAGTCTTTTTTTTATTTATTAAATTTTAGCTTTGATTCTTTTTGTCGACATATTTCGGTTTGCACTGGCCATAATCGAGCCACTGAAGTCATGCTTAACAAAAACAAAACCTACATTATGAATATTCAAGTCGAGCATCTTAAAAATTTATTTCTTGTTTCAAATATATTGAAAAAAAGAATCAAAGTTCTAGACTAGTCCAGTCTTTTGTTAGCGCTCTGTATTCATTCAAACGAGGTAAATTATTGACAAATAAGTTGATGAAACAAGAATATCAGCTGTCTCGTTTAAAGTCATCATTTCGTAATGAACTTGTCAGCAAATACAATTTATCATTGAGTCAAATGCTGACTGACGTTTTTCACACTAATTGTTAGGCCATTATTTACACACTGAATTGTCGACGGATTTTTCCGTTATTTCCCGATCATGACAAGGAACACACGGCGGATGTGACCGGTCGGCAGGGGATACTCACTCCTCCATGGCACCTGATCCCACCTCTGATGTTTGGAGGTCCGTGTTTGCTCTGCTCCTATTTTGTATTGATTAATGGTCTTTTGAGCTTGAATACTGTTCGTTATCTCCATTTGTTTCATTCAGCAAGTAAATGGAGTAATCCATATTAAAATTTATATAAAATAATGACCTACGCAGGTAGGTTAAGGCTTCCCGTAGAATATCACATTGCACTCTGTGCCTTCACATCTCTGAACTACCGAAATATGACGTCATAATGGAAAATGACGTCGTCACTACAAACTTGAGGTGTTATGACGGGGAGAGTGTCATGAACTTTACACTTTATTTCAAACTGCATGTAAAATGCTAGATAGCTATTGCAAAACTCACGGGTCGTTAAAGGTTTTTTAAGTCCTTTATGTCCGAATATTTTAAAAATACACCGCTTACCTACCCTTGATTGAAATTCAGCATGTTCAAAATGCTTATGAAAAATATATTTTTGAAATGTACTCTGTTTTATACCCGTGGTTGGAGGTAGAATTTATTTTGTGTGTATAAAAGAGTCTGGCGCAGGTGATTAATGAGGATTATTCAGAGAATTTTTGTGGAAATCTGTAAGAAGAGGTTGTTCTGTAACTGAATCTTGCTTGGGAAAAATGTGTGTTGGCTTTGTTTTAATACAGATTAACACAGATATTGTGTGGAAAATACCCTCAAATTTGTAGGTAAGTTGAATTTCTCAGTAAATATTTTGTATCTAAGTAATACTATGACTTTTCCCAAGCACATTTCGGATACACAAGGATACGTTGAGTTTATTTATATTACAAAATGTTAATAATTATTATGTTTATCAGCTGCGCCGAAGCGATTTATATGAAACACTTCAAAAAATTATAAATGACCGTCACGCGATTAACAAAGTCATGTGATATCATAACAAATATGTTAATATATAGCCGAGGAAACCCTCTATATACATTGGAAGTATTAAAGTTCAGTACTTTTAAATTAAAACCAAAACCGACCTGCAATGACATATTATGTTTTTAGCGAATTTTAAAGCTTCGGGAAGCCTTAACATAGCTGCGTAACGCTTGTTTGAAACTCTCTTAAAACACCATCCAATAACAAATACATTATATTTAACTTCACAAGCGGTTTAATTGTGCTGTTTAATTATATAAATAAAGGTCTGGATAGCCTTTATTTTGATGAATTTCTCCTTCTTGATAGAAAATGAGTTCGCTTTTGAATAAGTAACTGATGCATTATTTCAGCAACCTTAGCTTAAGATCGTGTTTTGTTTACAAATCTTTTTTTTTTTAAATCCGTAATTGAAATATTTTTAATTGTATATACGTATTATTATAGACACATATTCCCACACCGATACAATAACGTATAAGGGAAAAAGAACCAACAAAATCATGGAGTATATATATTCGTGAAATTTGGTAAACGCTTTGGAAACTTTACTGCAGTAGTACAGCTTATGGCAAACATGCTTATAATTAATTGACATTTACAGCGAAGAGATTTTCATTCACCAAAATCGTCCGTTCCTGACACTTCGTTATAAGCGTGTTTTACTGTATATTTAAATTTCAATTTTATTAAACATCATTTGGCATCATTTACAGCAAATATTTTACTTGTTCCATGTTCAGAAACTTTTTACAAATGTCTAAAACATACTTATTTCAGCTGGCAGTTGTACAATTTTCAAATAGGAACACTGAACGCAGTTTTGTTCCGATAGGAACTGTAAAGATATTACATCTTGCCACCTTTTGTCTGATTTTATATTATACTTTAACAAATGAATTATAAAGTTAATCTATAAGCTTCCTGATTCTGACAACTGCATATTATCATTATATATCCATAGTTATTCGTAGATTAAATAAATCCACAAACACAACTATATTCAGGTGTGAAAAATGTTATCTCGCAATTCTTTCAATTGTGGTATACTGCTTAAAAGTTCATAGACTCTGGACATGCTGATCCCACTCTCAACAAGGCATTCTTTAGGACAAATCCTCAATATTTCTTTCATAGATGTATCATGCACATTATGCACAAAGCCTGGGATTCCCTCTTGGAGCATTAAATACACTTTTGGCAAGCCTTTGTCTAAATCAAAGATCCCAGGGCCACCGGAAGCACCATGAGTTGTTGATTCTGAGCAGTGGAACAGTACCTTTTCCCTCCTGAACATAGAATCATAATCATTTTTAATTTTTTTATGGTCAGATTTAGGATAATTCCTCTTCCACCATGAAAGTGCTTTACAGTGAGTTTGAAAGGCGTCGCATTCCGAAATCAAGGGGCATAGTCTGTCAATTATCTGTTCATTGCCATGGGAGGCTGGGTGACCAATAATGGTAATATTTTCTGGTCGCTTGCGAGATATGTCCAAAATAAATGGCTTTGGTAAATTTGTCCAATTTACTTCTAATAAAGCAACGTCATCTGCTTCTTGTTTGCTGAAGAATGGAATGTCATATCTCAAACGATACCTTTTATAGTCAAATTGTTCTCTCGTGCGACCAAAATACACATAAATAGGGTTGTCCTCGATGAAATTCACGGCTTTGTCTACAAATAAACAGAATTGATTAGGAGATGTAATAGTGAGCCCTATGTATTATCTATGTGAAAAGAAGATATCTGAATAGAAAAGTACATTATTCAAGAAAATTTTGCTCTGTCCATGGGAAATGTTTCTGAAAATTTAATTCCTCTTTATGCATGAAAGTACATAAATATATTTGCTATACTTTCATGTTAAAAAGTGAATTTGATTGGTTTAAACCATTTGTAAACCACGCCTTCCGAGTAACATAAAATAGCAACAGTTGACAATACATAACAAAGTATAACAGTATAAAAAAATTTATTGGTCAGGATGTCTGCGCATACGGTTTACTGTGACTTTTTCATTCAAATACATTCTAAATACATCCAGTATAACCAAAAATATTACATGTTTGTTTAGGTTAAGATGTGAAATTGTTATCCCTTGAAAACCTTTGTCGACCTTGGCTTCAATTCAGTAAGCAATTGTTTTCGCGGGATAACAATTTGACATGTTACCCTAAAAAACATGTGATACTATTATTTTTATAATAACAGAGTTAACAAGGGAAAATCATTGCATTTATTTCGTGTAGATATCCACTATAGTCTGGCATATAACTCAGCAATGAAAATGTCATAATTTTCCAAAATCTACGTATTGTTCGAAAATGCGAAACTTTATAAAGTTTTCCACGAGAAAATCAATAGAATATATGTGCACAAGAAAAAGATTTGAACTGATTTTTTAAAGTTTATTACGATATCAATATGATATGAACTATAACATCATTTATTATACCTCTATTAAGAATACTCAAATTTGATTGGCTTTTTAGAAGGCTTTTAAACTCAATAATGACTCCAAAAAGTACCATTTACAGCAATAATGACCTAGGAATCATTGAATGTGGGGTATAATGACCCGGTCATTAAAAATAATGACCGCTAAAAATGACCTGTTAATCCAAATTCCATTCAAATTAAAAAAAAATGCAATACATTAATGATTGTTCAGTACAAAAAAATGCCGTTATAAAAATATGTATAGTCTTTTTAGGATACGGAACACAATTGGCCTTAGGATGCAGATGCGTCATAAAATTTATCGTTTTCATTGAAACTTTCGTTACAATGTCAAATTCAACGAATGCAGACTCGGCTCCCTTGTATAGTAAAAGTCTGCACCAGATTGTCATTGTACTCGGTAATGGTATCTGTGATTTTATAAAAAGGTATGTTACTGACAATCACAGAGTGTTTTAATAAATCGGCGGTGCAAAAACCTACAAAACTTGCAGGCGAAAAGTAAACAACTTCACTAGTGAATCCCGATCTCGATGGAACACTGATAATAACAATTTTTAGGTCTAATACATAATTGATTATTTTAGTAATTAAGCCCACAAAAATTGCCATAACTTATATCGGTATAATAAAACAATTGATTACCCCTTATGAGTTCAACATGGTGAAATAAGGACCCTCGACCTGGCCCAATCGCTGACCTGACGGCAGCTACGCGGCCTCGGTCAGGTCAGGTCACCTCGTGGGCCAGGTCTCGGGTCTTTATTTCACCATCTTGACCTCATAAGGGGTCATTAATTGTTTAATGTATCCTACTAACTTTTATATTAGTTTCGTCTTCTGACTTGAAAATTAACATATTAAATTTAAAAATAAGCATCTCTAATGCATTTACTTATCATTGTGTCAATGAAAGCACATGCCAACATTATTTCCTACACCGAAATTTCAAGGGCCATACCCTCTTTCAAGGGAAGTACCTTAACAATTAGTGAAAATTCAGTGACATCTTTTAAAAATCTTCTCAAAGCCACTGTGTCAGAAAAAATGAAATTTATATGAAAACTTTATTAAAAATGTAGATTAATTTTCTTTTTAGATCATGTCCCTCGGGGGAAGGACATAGACATAGAATATACAATTAGGTGCCTTACCCTCACTGCACATTTTGTCGTCCCCAAGATTTTTTTTAGCTTTGTGAAATAATTTATGAGTAAATCACACTGACGTGTCTCATTTTCTATTTCATGCAGCCTGATTGTATATTTTGGCGTCCTGTTCATATTGTCGCCGGCGACAATGTAAACTTACCCTCACTCTGCTTGTTGTCCATCATTACATGTTGCATGACAGTGCATGGCAATGCTTCCATATAAATTTAACTAATTATTGCTTTGCTGTTTTTGCCTAGAAGATTAAACAATGTTCCTATATATTCCTATGCAAAATTTGATAGCCCTTTTGATAGCCCAATATGATTAATCACAGCCTTACTGTTATTGTGGAGGAACTATTTATGATATAGATCTAGATATCCTTTATTTTCCTTTGTATAACTTTGAACACCCATCGTGATCCTACCATAGCTCCGCGGTCATGATTTGAAGATACTTGAGGATTCTTCCATATAAATATCACTAATCACGGGCCTACTGCTGCCGTGTGGTGTATCCAGAAATTTCAGAACGGGGGGGGGGGGGCGGGGGGGTTCAGAATTTTATTTGACAAGGGAAAAAAATGTCATGTGTGTGAAAGTAAATTACAGTTACTGTACATCTTAAGTAAATTATTTTATTCTGAACTTTTACCTGTGGATAGAAGAAGGAGAAAACCCTTCAAAATATTTTAGTCTCGAGTCAAGAAATTATCACAGTAAAGTTATACCTAAAATTGAAAAGGAGGATGGAACAATTACATTTAACTAATTTGATATTTTGAATGAAGTTAAGATGTTCTATGAAAATCTTTATAAAAGTAAGGAGAATGTGGATTCTGGAAGTATTCATGACAAATTTAAAATATATGATGTCCCTAAATTAAATAAAAAATAATCAGAAAGTCTTGAAGGCCCATTGACCAATTCTGAAGTTCTCAATTATTTGAAAAATATGAAAAATGAGAAAGATCCCGGACCAGATGGTTTTAATTTTTCAAATTCTTTTGGCAGAATATAGGTGCCTTTATTTCAAGAGCAAAAAACTGATTGATTAATTGTATGTTGTTTTACGTCCCATTCATTTTTCACTCATATAGAGACGTCACCATATACCGGTGAAGGGCTTCAAATTTTGACCTTTACTCGGCACTTACGGCCATTGGGCAGTGAGGGATCTTTATCGTGCCAACGCCTGCCGTGATACGGGGCCTCGGTTTTTAAGGTCTCATCCGAAGGACCCGCAACTTTCACTTCAAAGTGCCGAGCGCATGGCGAAGGAACAGTTGCTACCCATTTTTTTATCGACTTAGGTCAGTCGCGGCCGAGATTCGAACTCACGACCTCCCGATCACGAAGAGCAATAAAAAACTCATATGAATTATCACACTTTACTGAATCAAATAAGTTAGGTATAATAACTTGCCTACCAAAACCAAGAAAACGAAAACAATTCTTGTAAAACCGGCGCCCAATCAGTTTGTTGAATGTGATTTATAAAATAGCCTCAGGCTGTATTGCTGAACGATTGAAAACCGCATTGAATAAAATAATAAATAATGACCAAACTGGCTTTTTCAAAGGGAGGATTCATAGGTGAAAATATTAGACTGGTTTATGATTTAATGCATTACACGAAACAAAAGAAGATTCCAGGCTTACTAATGTTTTTTGATTTTGAAAAAGCTTTTGACACCCTATCATGAAGTTTATATGCCAAACATTAGACTTTTTTTTTAATTTTCGTAAGTCAATTAAAAATTGGATTCAAACTTTTAATAATGGAATTAAATCATGTGTTATACAGAATGGGATTTCTACTGACCACCTGTTCCCTCAGAGGGGTTGTAGACAGGGGGACCCAATTTTCCCATACCTTTTTCTACTTTGTGTTGAAGTTGTTGAGATTCTAATTCGAAATAATAAAGACACAAAGGGAATTATGATTGATGGGGAGGAATATAAACTTTAACAATATGCTGATGATACTTCTTTTATATCTGATGGATCACCACAGTCTATGGATGGTATATTAAGAGAGCTTAATTATTTTGCACTTGGTTCTGATCTGAAAATTATTTTCACAAAAACTAAAATGGTTTGGATTGGCAGTAAAAAATTTTCCCAAGAAGAAAACTTACTCCAATTGGTAGATTAGCAGTGATTAAATCCCTGATTATTCCAAAGATGAACCATTTGATATTGACTATTCCGAACCCTAATAAGGAACTCCTAGATGAATTTGAGAAACACCTTTACTACTTTTGATGGGGAAGTAAAATTCATAAGGTTAAGAAAAATGTTATGATTCATTATAGAAATGTGTTGTTGAAAATGATTGAATATGTAGATTTTCTATGTGCATTAAAATCAACATGGATCCAAAGACTGATATACTCAGATACAAAATGGCTAAAACTTCTTGAACCAGAATAAGGAATGAAAGTTGAATATCTTTGGGTAGGAGGTTTAGACTTTACTGTTTATATGTGTAATAAAATAAGTAACAAGTTTTGGAAAGAGGTTTTACTTTATTTGGTAAAAATCATTGACTCTGTTCAAAATAATATGTACATTCTTCATGAACATATATGGTTTAATCCAAGAATTAAAATGAACAACTCATCCATATTTTTGAAAAGTTATTACGATGCAGGCTTTGATTTTGTAAGAGATCTGTTTGATTCTGAAGGAAAATTTGTAAGCCTTAAGTACCTCACAAATCTTAATGTAAAAACAAATTTTGTAGAATATGCATGTTTAAAAGTAGCTGTTTTAAAGATATTGAAACGTATTGATATTGAACAAGGAGAAAATGGACCCTTCATCCCTAATTCACTTTATATTTTTTATATAAAAGTACACAAAACTGTAAAGACATGTATAGTATAATCATTAAGAAGAAAAAAAGGAAGCGATTAAGGCACTAGAAAAATAAGAAAATAATGGAATATTTTTTGGCGATATAGACTGGAACAAAATATTTGGAGTTCCTTTTAAAGTCACAAAAGAAGCAAAATTTCAGTGGATGCAATTTCAAATTCTGCATAGGATTATTGCAACAAATAAATACCTTATAAACTCAAACTAATTGATTCATCTGCATGTTCCTTTTGTGAACAAGATGTTGAAACGATTGAAAATTTATTTTTCGCGTGTTTCTGCGTCACATTAAGGAATGGTTTATAAATAAGTTTATTTTACCATCAATTTTGATGGAAAAGATATACTTTTTGGCAAATTCAACAACAAAAACATATTTAGACTACACAATATATTAATACTTACTGTTAAGCAATTTATTTTTCCTAGTAGGTTTAAAAATGTGCCTAAACTAAGCATCTCAACGCTAGAAATTAATATTGTGGATAGAATATTAGTTAAAAACGTTATACTTTTAAGAAACTGTAAATTTTCAGATTATGAAAAATACTGGAAAAATATTTGTGATATGCTATAATGTATTTATTTTTCTCACGTTTATATTCAAATGTACAAGTATGTAAAAATACTTAATACTGTCCCCCCACCTCACTTTTTGCACCCTTTAACCCCCTTTTTCCTTTTTTTTTTTTTAAAATTTTATATCTGTATATAAAGCTTTCACAGTGAAGATTCAAATAAATGTACAATATGTCATATATAATTTCAGTTTGATTTTGAAATGCAACATATATTAACTACAAAGAAAATGTATTTAATATGAAGCATCAGAATGTAGAAATGAAAGTATGTATTGAATGTAAATTAATATATCGTAGAGTATGTAAATGCGAAAGCACAAATAAAATCTATGAATAAAAAAAAGAGGCCCAAGGGCCTTGAATCGCTCCTCCGATAAACTGTACAACCTATCACTTCTATTTGAAGCCTCTAAGTATCTGTATATTTAGATAAACCCTTGAAGAGTTGGTCATTCTGACAGACTTATCATGTGTCATTCTCTGAGGACCCAAGATGCATCAACTAAGTTTGATGATTCTTAACCAATTAATACCTAAAATATCTTTCAAATTATAATCATAAAATTTTAAAAGTATGTCACAGTGACCTACTTTTTGGATGACATACTTTGAGGACACAAGATGCCTCAACTGACAAAGATTGATGATTCTAAGCCAATTAGTACTGAAATATTTAATTATAGTCATATAAATTGAAAAAAAAGTAAGTCACAGTGACCTACTCTTCAGTAGACCTACTCCGAAGTCCCAAGATGCATCAAGTGACAAATTTTGATGATTCTAAGCCAAACAGTACCGAAAAATATTAAAATACAGCCATAAAATTTCAAAGTAGGTCAGGGTGACCTACTTTTCAGTTGTCGTACTCCAATGCCCCAAGATGCATCAACTGACAAAGTCTGATGATTCTAAGCCAATTAGTACCTGAAATATTTAATTAAAGCCATAAATCTTCAAAAGTAGGTCACGTGACCTACTTTTCAGTCGTTATACTCCGAGGACCAAAGATGTACCAACTGTCAAAGTTTGATGATTCTAAGCCAATTACTACCAAAAATACATGTATTTAATTAGAACCATAAATTTTCAAAAGTAGGTCACGATGACCTACTTTTCAGTCTACCTACTCCGAAGACCCAAGATGCATCAACTGACAAACTTTGATAATTCTAAGCCAATTAGTACCTGAAATATTTTATTGTAGTCATATAAATTGGAAAGTAGGTCACGGTCACCTTCTTTTCAGTTGAGAGTTTTTGAGGACCCAAGATGCATCTACTTATAAAGTTTTATGATCATAGGCCTTAAAATGTCTAAATTATGCCTCTGAACGATTTGAAATTGAATGCCTGCAAAGTTCAAAAAGTAGGTCACTTTGACATACTTTTTAATAAATATGTTTTATGGCCCCAAGATGCATCATCTTACAAGATGTAAGGATTCTAAACCTCTCAGTATTCGAATTAATGACCTTAATTGTTTTGAAAAAGATTTGCCATAAAATTAAAAAAAAAAGTCAAAGTGACCTTCCTTTTAGTCAACGCACTCCGAGGACCCAAGATACATCAACTGACAAAGTTTAATGATCATAGGCCTTAAATTGTTCAAAATTTGCCTCTTAATCATTTTGAAAAAGAATGGCCACAAAATTTAAAAAGTAGGTCACCATGACCTACTTTTGAGTCAACATGATATGAGGTCCTTAGATGCATCAGCTGAAAACATTTGATGATCCTAGTCCTTATAGTAAGGAAAATATCAACATTTTAATAAAATGTAATTTTTGGTCAATTTTGGAGTGACCTTGAGACCACGCCCTTTACCCTAGGGTGATGCCTTGAACAATTTTCTATAACACATCTTCATCCTTTTGTGTAAGTTTGGTGAAAATCTGCTTAGTGGTTCTTGAGAAGAAGATTTTTAGCAACCAGTACTTTTTTTTATTTACCCAATTATCTCCCCTTGTTTAAGGGTTACATCCCTAGTTTTAGAATAAACGGGACCCCTTGGGCCAAGGATACCCTGTGACAAATTTGACAATAATTGGCCAAAGGGTTCTTGAGTTATGACCTATATTCTAAAAAGTTTACGCACACCGCACAAATGGCCATAGCATTAGCTCTTTGAGCCTCATATCCAATGAAAGTCTAATTAAATTTTATTCAGTGGTATATGAGGAGTTTTGTATAAGGGATGCGTCCCCAAAAAGTGTTATGGATGTACATATCGAAAGGATGGACACAACCGTTATCATCTACTTTGCAAGCAGGGGTATATTTTTTGGATCATCATGTGTTTTATTTTTCCAACAAACTATATGATGTACTGGAAAATCTTATCTTTCTCATAAAATACTGGGATTATTCATTTAATCTTATCTGCAGTAATTAAATATGTGTCCATTATGTGAAATATTACCTTTGGCACATGAAAATCCTGTATCCTCCAAAGCACTGAGTAGGCTGGTGATAAGTAATTGATAACTAGTCTTTTTCAGCCATTCATGGACCCCATTTCTTAATTTCTCTTCAATATCTCTTCCGGATTCTTCTACTTGCAGTTTTTGCAATAACCTTAAATAATTCATCCTGCGAAGTGGGTCAGACTGGACATTTTCTATGATTTTATAGATGTACATTTCTAGATGAAATAGAATTATAAAACAACTTTAATTAGTTTTAGCAACTTAGTTAGCTTTTGCACTTGCTCAAATACTTTATCAAGATAAAATTGGACATAAAAATACAGTATTTAGGTATGGCAGTAATTACTTGAAAAAAAAATGAAGGATATACAATTCATGCAGAAAAAAACTTCTTAGATACTAACCTAAGGTTTTTCTTATCACATGGTATGCTGTCATCAGATAACGACTTCCGACCCTGAATGCTGTACCTGCTGTCCCATCACTACACACCAAATGACCAACACTTTTATGCCACTCTTCGCAGAATAAGGTTTCCGGTTCTTTACTCCGCTGAGAGTTATCGATCAGCTTTTGAAACTTTCCTGATGCTGATTCTGATAAAAATAATGAAAAGAGATATAATAAATTCTTAATAATACATCAACAATTTGACTGCTTTACAAAAAATTAAATTGTATTAATTTTAATAGTTTTGACAAAACCCATCTAGGGACAAAACTGTGAAATTAACGGTTTTTGTTTTCTCATATCTGAATATGCTATACACTAAAATGGAAATGAAATTGGTTCAGTGGATCCTGAAAAGGTTTAAAAATAATGACTAATGCACGACTGACGACAATGGACAGAAAACGACGGAGATAAACCATTAGCAGTAGTAACCCGAGTGACTCAGATGACATATAAAGGGATAAAATTTTGTTTTAACTTTTAGAAAAATATTCTTCCATCATTATCAGTTGAAACTCAGCATTATTTAAGATATACATTTCACAATTTTATAGTTTAACTAGACATATCTCCGATGAAAGCACAGGTTATAATAAGGAAAGTTTGAATCATTTAGTGAAATGAAATCAGTCGATTGAGTTGAACATTTAAGCATTTACAGAAGCAAAACGCCTATGGGCCACAATGCTCTACTGAGTTACTTTAGCCCTGTTGTTCTTCTTCAGGTTTTAAAAAGATTTCTATGTTCCCGTATGACCCAATATCATGGTCCCATCCTAACTCTAAAGGGTCATTAAATCCACACACCATGGTGATGTTTCAATATCAGTAAGAATAATATAGTCGTGAAGTTATATGGAAAAGAAATTTCTTTTCCACGTATACATGCATTGTGTAAAATTTGATCCTAAGTTAAGCCATCTCAAGCGCAATTAATAATAAAATAAATAAATAAATGCGAAAACTCACACATTGTGCGAATGGATGTTTTTTGTGTTTCTATAGAGACGTCCAAAATATTAGATAGTTCCAATTGAAACTTTTGTAGCCATGAGTTGAATAGTTTATAACCTATATTTCCTCAGGAAGCCTTCATATTAGTTTTATCTTTCCTGATCTAATGGTTCTTGATAAGAAGATTCTCTCTACACTAAACGAAAATGTTTATATTGTATAAAGGTGTGATTATTGAGCTTATTTAAATCATTTTCAACATAGAGTGCCTGGCTTTTACCCCCAGGAAAAATGTTCAAAGTCAACAAAGTTTTGATGAACAGAAATCACTGTTGTTTACCTAAGTGGGGGAAACATGTAGATGAGGTGTTCAATTAATTTATCTTGGCTATTTGAAATGTAATGAATGCTTGAACTGGTTGCAAATTGAGTAAAATACTGTAAATTTCAATTTATTGGAGTTTAGATCTAAGGGCAGATCACTCTAACTGCAGAAAAATACCATAGAATCAGAACTCTTTACTATGCAGTGTAGAGAGGGTTCTTAAAAAAATATATTTTCCTACATATTTTAATGTAACTAAATGATCCTTTATATTTGTCCCACAATAATCCCGGGGTAGTGTTGTATCGATAAACAGAAAACATCGATTGTCGACAAAAAATGCTACTGATTCCGATGATCGATTATAATTTTTCATAATCCATCATCGGAAACATACTTCTAATACAATACATTCCGGAATTATCAATTTCTAGTTTAAAATTTATTTCTTCTTAGTGAAAGTCTGCATGAAATATATGGAGATAACGAACAGTATTCAAGCTCAAAAGTCCATTGAACAATACAAAATAGGAGCAGAGCAAACACGGACCTCCAAACATCAGAGGTGGGATCAAGTGCCATGGAGGAGTGAGCATCCCCTGCCGACCGGTCACACCCGCCGTGTGCTCCTTGTCATGATCGGGAAATAACGGAAAAATCCGTCGACAATTCAGTGTGTAAACAATGGCCTAACAACTAGTATAAAAAACGTCAGTCAGCATTTGACTCAATGATAAATTGTATTTGCTGACAAGGTAATTGTATCGACCATAGAACTTACGAAATGATGACTTTAAACGAGACTGGTACTAGCCAACAAGCACGAAGCAGAGGTGATTTAGAACCGAAATGTGCATATATAGAAAGTGTAAAAGAAACAAAACAACAAAGAAAATAACATATTATATATTTTATATATTCATGTTAAAGAAATAATATGAAATAATTGTTATAGTCTGCTTTTTATATACAAAACTATGACATCCAATTATAATCGGTAAAATCGCATCGGAAGCAGTAACTGATTCCAACCGATGATGGATTATGAAAATTAACCGATGTCCCATCACTATCCCGGGTTCCATCTACATTTTGTCTAGAAGCTCTCACATGGTTCATGTTTTCTAGTCCAATATTTCTTGAGAAGACGAATTTTTAAGGTTTTGTCCTATATAGTTCAATGTGAAACTTTGATCTCTGACTGTGGCCCACCCTAAACACATGGGCATAATTTGAATAATCTAGAATCTCCACTTCCTCAGGAAGTTCCAAATTTTTCTGGCCCAGTGGTTCATAAGAAGACTTTTTTTTTTTTTTTTTTTTTTTTTTTTTAAAGAAAAGATTTTTTTCTTATCTATTCTGAAAGGAAAATGAAATGCATGATTACATAATATGATTGTTACAACGTCACATAAGCTAGGGCTTTTCATCATGCCCCTCTGTAATCGTCAAGGCATTGCCACTGAAACCGATAGTAATACAGTAGGCAATTATAATCGTAACATTGACCCTCAAACTGACACAAACCCTTTGCTCCAATTTGGTCCGTGACCTCGGCACTTTTACTTCGGTATTACTCTCAATCGCGCACGTTTGCGTCACATGCCTAATTTTTCAGCATGTTCACCCCAGGAAATGTAGATAGTGTTTTTCAAGTCTTTCTTACAAACATGAAAATGAAAAAAAAAAAAATCTGACGGACAGAGAACCCTACAGTCCAGTTAGTCTGTTGACTTTTTTTTTTTTTGCTCGTCAAGGAATTTTCGGTATTTGATAGTGCCCAACTAAAAATGTTAAAAATGTATGGCTGCCCCCCCCAACCCCCCCACACACAAAGGGTGCTCCTTACGGGCCAGTTTCTAATACTAGTATGTAATTTACTTTATTGGAAACAAATTGTGAAAAAAATGGCATGTATTTTTCTAACAACTATCGTTCGTAGTTACTAAATAGTGAATCCTTCACACGACCTAGAAGCTGTTCTAAGCATTTGTCTACATTTTTAAAGTCATCATTTCGTAAGTTTTATGGTCGATACAATTACCTTGTCAGCAAATACAATTTATCATTGAGTCAAATGCTGACTGACGTTTTTTATACTAGTTGTTAGGCCATTGTTTACACACTGAATTGTCGACGGATTTTTCCGTTATTTCCCGATCATGACAAGGAGCACACGGCGGGTGTGACCGGTCGGCAGAGGATGCTCACTCCTCCATGGCACCTGATCCCACCTCTGATGTTTAGAGGTCCGTGTTTGCTCTGCTCCTATTTTGTATTGTTTAATGGACTTTTGAGCTTGAATACTGTTCGTTATCTCCATACATTTCATGCAGACTTTCACTAAGAAGAAATAAATTTTAAACTAGAAATTGATAATTCCGGAATGTATTGTATTAGAAGTCATCATTTGAAAAAACTGGAATCTATACTACATGAGGATGCTTCCATATCAATATGAGTAATCATGGCTTTGCTGCTCTTGAGAGATTTTAAAGATTTTTCCTATTTATTCCTAAGCAAAACTTTCATCCCTCATTGTGGCCTCACACTTCCCCCAGGGCTAATCATTTGAACAAATTTGAAAGATTATTTACTATTTAAAGTTAGTTTCCTTTAACTTTGAACTTGTTTTAAACCAAGTGGTTCTTGAGGAAAAGATTTTTAAAAGATGCCACCAAATTTTCACTATTTCTGAATTACCCTAACAAAAATATTCTATAGTAAACTATAGTTTACTATAGTAAACTATAATTAACTATAGCGATAATTTTGTCACTATGAAAACTATAGTTAACTATTGTGATAACTTTGACACTTTGATTTGTTATAGTGATAACTGTGAAAACTTTGATTTAGTATAGTGATAACTATGACACTATAGTGATCACTTTGAAAACTTTGATTATCTATAGTGATCACTTTGACACTATAGTGATCACTTTGAAAACTTTGATTTACTATTTGTCAAAAATAGAAATATTATAATTTCTTTAAATAGTCAGAGTCACCAAAAGGTAGACCATTATTAACTTTCTTTTGATAATTATAGAAACATAAAACAGTAGGTATGTGTGCAAAAATAAATAAATTGAAAAATATCAGCATCTATATAAGGCCTATCTTTTTTTTCAATAATGGAATTAATCAATAACAAGTTATTCATTTTTCAGAAACACTAGTAGAAGCACTTTTTTTTTTTATTAATATCTGAAAATCATCGTCTGGTAACACACTTGTACATGTAGTTATACTTTTATGCCTCTATTCTAAATGTATGCACAATCAATTATCTAAAGGATTGTTTCCAAATGATTCATAAAGGCATATACAATGTAATGCATGATCTTGATAACATTTACAAATTTTGTCTGTACGTGCAAGTATGTAGTTCTTTTTTTTTCTATTTATTTGTTTCTCTAATGTGTCTAACTAAAAAATAAATTACAATTTATAATGCATGTCTATTGAGCATGTTCTATTCAATTCATCATAATTATAATTATATATTATAATGTAGATGTTTAACCATTTTTACTTACTACTGCTTTTAGAGAATAGAAAAAAAAAAAAAACAGTATACATCTTACCTATTTCGGCGTGAAAATGAAATAAGTATAATAGTGTAACTGACAGACGAAAGCGCTCTCGTACCAAAAGAACTGACACCTATATGTACCTGCCTTATCAGTATATTGTCTCCCTGTCAGGTCAAGACCCAACCCCCACCCCTACATGACACCTTGGCCCGTGTGTATTCAACGTCAACATACCTGAACTGCTCTCTCACCTGGTGTCAAGTATTAACCTTGAACCCTACTGGGTATAAATATAATGCATAATTTCATTTTCTGGATAATGTTCATAATTTGTTTGAACAACACTTAAAGATTTTATACACTGTACTAAGAAAATAAGAAAATGTACACTTCAGTTACTAATTAAAAACTGAATAAATGAATCAAATGAAATATAGGCGAGATTTGTCCCAACACTCCATTGATTTAATTCATTGGTATACTTTTGTATACTTCTTATTGGTTTACAGTCTTAAACATGATTGATCTGATCAAATTTAAAATAAATATTAATAGAAGAATATGGTGAATAACTCTTATAGAAAAATACGAACTTTACCTCGCATGATTTTTTTTTCGCTATTAAAGGCTCCTCAAAAGATATATGCAAAAATTTATATGAAATCGCCCGGTTTTGCTTCGATACACAAGACATGTAAATGCATTGAATTTAATTTTATTAGTGTTTATGGATTACATTTAATAATTGACTATATTCAAGAAATCAAAATATTTTTTTTTCTTTTGGAATCGGATCTTTTTTTTTATTGTATTGGTTAGTGCAACCCCCATCCCCCACCCCGCTGACTGTGCCTCAGTTGGGATTAAGACTTTCATAATTTACAAAGTTTTGTTTTATTTTGCCAATATAGTCATATATAAGATAAGTTTAGTAACAATTAATACAAAATCTAATAGAAATGATTTACAATTATTCAGTCCGAAAATCTTCGTCATATTGTGGAAATTTATTTTACATTATTATTTATTTGTGTGTGAATCGGCTTAGCATACACCTAGCTATGGTAGATATAAATTCTGTTAATGTGAATATTTATAACCAACTTTTCCGCGACAAATTACACTGCTTTTCCGCAATTATATTTTTTGCTTTCTGCGATTTAATTAGCACTTATCCCTTCCGTTAGTCAGGTAAAAAGTCTTTCTCCCTGCAATCAACCGGCTTCAATCTTTTTTTTTCTTTACTGAGATTTTTGTCAGTATACTTTTTGTTTCTATCTCGGCAATCTGTAATTGTCGCTTTGCATATTTTATCTTTATCGGTAAGACACATCGCCATTATTTAAAACATTGACCTTTCTATACGTAAATCCATCGTTTGTAATATATATTTGTTACCACGAGTTGGTTCGTTATGAACAATTTCCATGACACCTACAACATCACCAACCAGTGTAATATGTGATTCATTCAATTTTTATCACAGTGTGGTACTATCGAGTAGAACTTATAGGGAGATACATGATAATCCGGTAAATATCGGCAACAGTTTGATGTAAAGTACTTACCGTGAAAATTTAAAAATCGCAGAAAGGAAGTATCGAAAAAAAGGAGAAAACATACAACTCACAGTAAAATTCAATCGCGGAAAAGCAGTATAAGGTAGTCGCGGAAACGCAGACAGGTTGCAAAAATAAATTCGCGGAAAAGCAGGTGGGCGAGGCTTGTGTAGAAAGAATTTTCATTTCTTTAGGGGCGGGGGGGGTCTAAAAAGAAATGTTTTGACAAGAAAACAAAAGAGGCTAAAGACATTATTGTTGATGGGCGATATTATACAAGCATTATATTTTACCCTATACTAAACATGTTGGTACACTGTAACATTTTTAGGTACACGACCGCGTTCTCCCTTCTGGGTCCTATGCAGGCCTATGACATTGGAAATACAGAGAATAAATACAAAAGAATGGAAATGCGATATTCTTTTCGGATACTAGATGATCTAATGACGTTTATTATTTTTTTTAAATTTGATTTCTTTCGGCCGTTATCCCTCTTCATATATATACATATACAATGTATGTACTTGGAATATGTAAATGATTAATTTTCGTACCGGATAAATATTTGTGACATATACATGTATATTTATATAGGAGAGATTATATAATCACAGTCCAGTGCACAGCCTGTGTCGACGCAACTAGCATATTCCAGCAAGTAACGTGTTTAAAACGTAAAAAAAATAATACAAATAAAAACAAAATCATAAAAACTTTGAGGAGACAGCGTTAACTTTAAAATGTAATAATTATTTATATATATATATATATTTTTCCCCTAGACTGACTAGTAAATTATTTTCGTAAGATTTGAATTATTAAATACCGATAATTTAAATTAATGCGATTTTGGATACATCACAGACTTCTAGCAGAAGATATTGAATCCAAATATTTCATTTATTACAGAGTTCTGCCGGATATATACTCAATATTTGATAATAAATTTATAAGGTTTCATTTGTTAAAATACTGAATATATTTATAGTGTTTCATGAATTATTGCACCTGGTTTTAAAACTTCGATTGACTACGGAATTTTTGAGCCACCATCATTAAAATCTCTGTTTTTTAAACGACTAAAATTCAAATTTAACAATTCGAGGGAATTTCGACATTTCTATAATTATACAAACAATCGCATAATTTCCACCAAAGAGTGCAATTTATCTAAAATAATTACAGTTTGAATTTGGTGACGATCCATTATTGACAAAAAATAAACATGTTTCTTGTACAAAGCATAGTTACCTCAAATGTTTAATCATATTACATTTTATATATTTAAGCATTTAGATTTGCGGCTTTGTAAGTAATTAAAATCATCATACTACAGTGTATCTAAAAAGGAAACAATTCGTCTTGTCAAAATACGTTTCGCATTTTGAAACAATTCTATCAGGTTTTGCGTTTATCCTATCGTGAAGATCGTTTATCAGGTCTATCATGTTTTGCGTTTATCGTATTTTGCGTTTATCGTATTTTGCGTTTATCGTGTTTTGCGTTTATCCTATCGTGCGTGTATCCGGTCCTATCGTGCATGTATCCTATCGTATCGTGCGTTTATCCTATCGTATCGTGCGTGTATCCTATCGTATCGTGTATCCTGTAAAGAATAACGATGTGGGTACTGTATAGTGATAACTTTGACACTTTGATTTACTATAGTTAACAATAGTTAACTATAGTATTTTTTGTATTTTTTGTTTAGGTATCTCTCCTAGAAATAGAGTGTGGCCCTTCATTCGAACAATTTTGAATCCCCTCTACTCAAGGATATTTATGGCAAGTTTAGTTGAAATAGGCCCAGTGGTTCTAGAGAAGAAGTATATTATTTCTGTACTACTAAACCATTGCCAAGACATGACTGCATGAACTGCCAAAAAAAAAAATACAAAGTGACCTCTGAATAGTTTTAAATTTCTCAAAAGTATATGGATACATTTGTCAAATAAATTTACTTCATTCATCACAATGAAGGTAAAAATCTATGACAAAAATACAATTAAAAATACCTGAAAAAAAAAATCAGAGAGAACAAGAACAATATTTTCCTAGAATTCAATTTTGAGTTTCATAAAAATAATTCAGAACAAAACTTTTCGTATATTTAACTGTCACCATATATATTTGTAGTTGCCTTACCTCCTGCATCAAAGCTGTCCAAAGAGGACTGTGATAAACTTCTGTGTGCTTCTGTATATTTTACAGGATTCTGGAAATCACAACAATAGTAGTCAATGTGAATTCAAAATATATCAATGTATAATAGATGCTCCCTGATTGTAACTCACATCATCATATCTCCACAAAAACTTATGTAAAAGAGTCATCCGATTGTCTGAGAGTTTAATTCGAATAATATATTAGGTACTTAGAATATATCCCCTATTGGCACAAATGGTTTGATTGGAATTAAATGTAAGTAACTGCAAATTAAATTTCACATTCACATCGATAATTTAATGCAAATTAGTTTCACTCATATTAACAGCGCAAAAATTCTTTCACGTTACGTCCCTGTGAAGGCTGACAAAGTTAATTTCAAACTAGAAAACTGACCAGTCAGCAAGGGCCCCGCCGAGGGGTAGAAAAATAAGTGTGCAGTTTACAGAATGAGAATTTTACTTGATTACAAAAAATTCTAAAATATATAAAGAAGAATATGCAACAATAACTGTGTTTATAAAATTTCAAGATAATTCCTAAATATCCAACAACCTGTAAATAGTATACCTGTATTTACACAAGGCAGTAAAAAACACCACATCTATAATAACTCAATTAAATGTACATTTAGACAAAAAATAAAGCATGTGTTTTATAAAATACCAACCCTTCAGTGAATGCAAATACATGTATCACCCAGGCTTAACCTTAACTTCAAAACAAATATCAGTTCCAGAGAAAGGTGTTAATTTATTTTAAAGTGACTAATAAAGAACTTTTTTCAGTAATGATAAAATGAGGATATTATCGGACTACCTATTAAAATTAAGTGTTCATGAATTTACATAAAGCAGTAAAACAAAGAAAGAAAATAAATAAATAAATAAATAAATTTAAAAAAAAAAAAAAAAAAAAAAGAAGATATCATTATGTATATCTTGTTTTTAAAATTCAATAAAATCATAACTCATTGTGTATTTTACCAAAATAAGTATGAACATTATTGAAATCCACATTTCAAAGAATATCAACATCGTTCAGAATTGACCCCAACTTCAAAACAAACTTCATTTGCAGACAGAAGTGTTAATTAATCTCAATTTGACAGAAAAAGATAATGCTTTGGATTTTCTTCAAGAGAAAAGTTAATTAATCCCATGGGACTAGTTGTAGTTTTCATAGTTTACAATAGGAACATTCTCAGCAGTTATCTCTCTTTGCCCTGGCATTCATTCTAATGTTAAATTAAGGAATCTACCCCACCACCCCAGCTTCAAACTGGATGACACAGAGAACCAAACTTAGCATCAAAATATGTCTTACTGCCTATTCAACAAACATACCAAATTTGAACTTAATTGGTTAACTATAAAAAAGGTTTTTAGAAAAAAACAGAAAATTTGTGGACGGAAGAATGACAGACGGACGGACAGACAAACAGACAAACAGAGTGATTACTATAGGGCACCCGCAAATTCTTGCGGGACCCTAATAAACACATATTGGGGGGACAGATATATGGGAAGTCATTATGTATATGAGCGGAAAACAAAGAATAAAATGTGTGTAAAGACACTAGATGAGTTTCAGCTCAGCAGAATGTAACGTAATTTGCAAATGGCGTCACAATAGCATTAGTTTAAATATTACCAATCTTCATTATTATTGTATTAGTTTATTTCACATTAATGTCATTTGGAAAGAGGCAGCTGGGGTTTTATTGCAAAATACTAGTAAAATTTAGAACATTTACACTTTCAAGCAACTCTTTTCACATTATTAATCAAATTCATCAATAAATAAAGTAATCATGGATTTAAAAATCTAATTATAAGTTTAAAACACTCATCTGATTTTTAAAAAGATCTTTTCAACAAATGGGACGATAAACAGCATACAATCAATCAATCATTGGCAACTTTCTACTTAAATGTCAACCTCTAATGGTTCCTTATTACAAGATAGGGTAGCATTACACTGCTGTAATGATTTTCCCCTTAGATTCCAAAAAATCCCCTGACGTTCCCCTGTCTGTCCCTGACATTTTCCTATCTCCCCCTGACTTTCTCCTATGATCCCCTGTCGTTGTCCCTGACTACCCTGTCTACTCCCTGACGTCCCGTGACTTTGCCCCTGTTACCACTGTCTAACCTCTGATGTCCCCTGACATTCCCTGACGTCCCTGGCAACTCCCTGATGTCCCCTGACTAAGTCCCTGACCACCCTGCCAACCCCCTGTCGTCCCCTGACATTCATTTTGACCAGGAAAAATGGTTAAAATATGTTTTGTTGCTATTTACTTGTGAGAAAATCAATACCTTTCTCCTAGCAATTTTCAAGTTTTGTGAAAATGTAGATTTAATCATTAGTTTTTCTGTTTGAAATATCTTTAGCGAATCTTTCAAAATATTATTTTATTGATTGTTACTAGCTTTTCAGATAAATCTTAATAAGGATAAATGCCGTTACTTAAAAAAAATAAATAAATTACTAATTTATTGCGTCTTGTGTAGCACGAATGGCATGTGTGTGTGTGTGTGTGTGTATATATATATATATATATATATATATATATATATATATATATATATATATATATATTTATATATATATTTGTTTGTTTATTGATTTTATTAATTCATGTATCTGTTTATTTATTAATTTGTCTGCTTATTTATCTATTCTTTTTTCTCCATTTATATATTTATTTTTTTATTCAATCTATCTATTTAATTTATTTATTTGTTTTATTTAATCATCAATAAAGAAATGGATTTATTTAAAATTTTTATTTATTTTTTTTATTTTATTCAATTATTTTAATTTATTGATTAATTAAATTTAATTCATTTTGTGTAGTTCTTCATATACATTGTCCGGGTAAAACAAATTTGCTTCAAACTATTTTGTAAGCATATTCAATTTACTTTTAATTCTTTTAATTTCATTCAAAATCATCGTCTTATTACACACAATCTGAATTTGGAATTTGTTTTTGTTTTTGTTTTTTTGTTTTTTTGGTTCCCTTTTACTTTGGTAAAATAAAAATTTCCTCAAAAACTTGTCACGGTTGTGAAAGAAATAGCACCTGCAGAGTGGATACGGTCGTGCTGCCACAGAATAAACAGTGTATAGTGGTCAGTCAAAAGAACAATAGGTGTCTGATCTGTGTACCCAGAGTCACTGGTGAACGATCAACAGCTCAGAATTACTTTCACAACCGAACAGTTTTTGAGGAACATTTCTATTTTTCGTAACAAAGTAAAAGATGCAAACAAATTCCGAATTCAGATTGCGTGTAATAAGACGATTATTTTGAGACCCATCATGAAATTAAAAGAATTAAAAGAAATGTGAATATGCCTAAAATAGTTTGAAGCATCGTTTGTTTTTCCATAAGACTGTTTATGGGGAACTACAAAAATAAATAGGAATTGAAAAAATTAATTCATTAAAATAAAATGAATAACAAAATAAAGAAAGAAAGAAAAGAAATAACATTAATTAATTAATAATTGAATAAAACAAATATTTAAACGCAAAGAAATGAATATATTAAATAAACAAATAAACAGATAGATAAAAAATAAATAAATAGAAAAATATACAAAGAAATAAGTAAAACAATAAATAAAAATATTGATTTTGTAACTAATTATTTGTTTGAAGTATCTTTAGTAAATTTATTAATTTATTTGAATTAAATTTATTGATGTATCTTTTTTATTTATGTCTTTGACCATTTATTTATTTATTTTTTCAATCATTTATTAATTATATCTATCAAATTTATTTTTACGTATTTGTTTTATTTAATTTTTAATAAATAAATTAATCTATTTAAATTATTTATTTTATTTTATTTTATTTATTTCCTTTATTTTAATTTATTGATTAATTTTTATTTAATTCAATTTGTGTAGTTATTCATAAACAATCTCCGGGTAAAACAAATAAGCTTCAAACTATTTTGTAAGCATATTCAATTTACTTTTAATTCTTTTAATTTCATGATGGGTATCAGAATCATCGTCTCCTTACGCACAATCTGAATCTGGAATTTGTTTTATTGTTCTCTTTTACTTTGGTAAAATAAAAATTTCCTCAAAAACTTGTCACGGTTGTGAAAGAAATAACACCTGCAGATTGGATAAGGTCGTGCCGCCACAGAATAAACAGTGTATGGTGGTCAGTCAAAAGAACAACAGGTGTCTGATCTGTGCATCCAGAGTCACTGGTCAACTATCAACAGCTCGGAACTACACTCACAGCCATGACAGTTTTTGAGGAACATTTTTAATTTTTTTTTTTTTTACCAAAGTAAAAGAAGCAATAAAACATATTCCGAATTCAGATTGTGTGCAATAAAACAATTATTTTGATACCCATCATGAAATTAAAAGAATTAAAAGAAATGTAAATATGCTTAAAAGATACTTTAAAGCATATTTTCTTTTACCTTACGACTGTTTATGCGAAACTCACAAATAAATTGAATAAAATAGAATTAATTAATTAAAATAAAATGAATAAAAAACTAAATAAATATATAATATTTATCAATTGATTAATAATTCAATAAGGAAACTATATCTAAAAAGAAATATATGAACAGATTTGATTAATAAATTAGTCAATAAATAAATAAAGCAAATAAATAAATACATGTGGATATATAGATAAACATATAAATAAATATAAATATATTTACTTGCCATTCATAACAAGACACAATAAATTTGTAATTCATTCTTTTCAAAGTAACTGGCATTTATTCTCCTTAAAATTTATCTTAAAGCTACATGTAGTAAACTAAAACAATCAAATACAATCATAGTAAGAAACTAGATGCGATCTCGTTGCGAGCAACGAGTGGGTCTTCCGTCCAATTTTTGATGATATACGAATTTGACTGAGATTTTCGTTCATAAATATATAAATAGTGAAAACATACAATTTGCTTCAGTTATGTTTAACAAAATTTTGATCATTATGGCATCAAAAAACGCAATATTTGATGAAGATTTTAAAATATTTATAGTAGCAGATCGTGAAGATGAACATTACTATAAAAAGGTTATAGATGAAAGATTTTTAGCCCTTTTGAGCCCCTAATTCGAGGGGTCTTGATATCACATGAAACGTCTTGTAATTCTGAAGACTTTTTGTTCAACAACTATTCAGAAGTTTCATTTCGTTTTCGAGATATGTAGACTTGAAATATTTAGGGGCCATCCCTTTAAGTTCTGATAGGGGCTGTTTAGGAAAAATTCAAAGGATGCACGTTGTTCAGATCATCATTCTAAACAACTTTTGTTCAATATTGCTTTTCAAAATGTTCCCCCTTTTCAAGATATAAAGCGTCAAAGATTAAGCATTCTGGCCCCTTATGGCCCCTAATTACGTAATATTTGAAGAATATGTGAAGATGAACATTTTTGCTTGAATATTTAATATCAAAATATTTAACGTTAAGGAGTTATAGATGAAAGACTTTTGGCCCTTCTGAGCCCATAATTTGAGGGGTCAGCCCCTTTTTCTTGATATCACTTGAAAGGTCTTGTAATTCTGAAGACTTTTTGTTCAACAACTATTCAGAAGTTTCGTTTCGTTTTCGAGATATGTAGACTTGAAATATTTAGGGGCCGTCCCTTTAAGTCCTTATAGGGGCTGTTTAGGGAAAATTCAAAGGATGCACATTGTTCAGATCATCATTCTAAACAACTTTTGTTCAATATTGCTTTTCAAAATGTTCCCCCTTTTGGAGATATAAAGCCTCAAAGATTAAGCATTCTGGCCCCTTATGGCCCCTTATTACATAATATTTGTAGAAAATGTTAAGATATATAGTTGCAGATTGTAAAGATGAACATTTTTGCTTCAATAATTAATATCAAAATATTTAACGTTAAGGAGTTATAGATGAAAGACTTTTGGCCCCTCTGAGCCCCTAATTTGAGGGGTCAGCCCTTTTTTCTTGATATCACTTGAAAGGTCTTGTAATTCTGAAGACTTTTTGTTCAACAACTATTCAGAAGTTTCATTTCGTTTTCGAGATATGTAGACTTGAAATATTTAGGGGCCGTCCCTTTAAGTCCTTATAGGGGCTGTTTAGGAAAAATTCAAAGGATGCACATTGTTCTGATCATCATTCTAAACAACTTTTGTTCAATATTGCTTTTCAAAATGTTCCCCCTTTTGGAGATATAAAGCTTCAAAGATTAAGCATTCTGGCCCCTTGTGGCCCTTATTTATGTAACATATGACGTAAAAATCATAATATATAGTTGTAGTTTGTTAAGATAAATAATTTTGCTTCAGTAATGTATACAAAAATATTGCTTGTTTAAGAGTTATCGATTAAAGACTTTCTGCCCCTATTGGCCCCTAATATGATGAGTCAGCCCTTTTTTCTTGATATCATGTTACAGATCTTTTTATTCTGCACAAATATTGTTCAACATGTTTTAACAAAATAATTATACTTTAAAAGATATGATACAAAATGTCTCAAAAATTCATTCATGATTCGTGTCCTAAATTTCGACCCCTACCGAGCTTCCATACTAGGCACTTCCGGAAAATATCTTAACCCAGGTGCAATGTGGCAACATGTCCTCTATCATCACTGAAAATTTCAGCGCTCTAGCTTAAGCCGTTTTTGAGTTCCATCGCAGACAAGGAGGTGCTCTGAATTTTAATAAAAGGGCGATAACTCTCGACCGGAAGTAAATTTCCCTTAACGGACTTGCCGGAATTAACTTCAGATGTCAACGCATCTACCTTGAAAATTTGAATGAAATCGAACGAGCCATCTCCGAGAAATCCTCTGCACAAATTTTGTAAGGAGAAAAAAGAATAATAATAATAATAATAATAATAATAAAGGTAAAAAAGAAACCTAAGAATAATAGAAGGGTCTTCCGCTGAAGACGGAAGACCCTAATAAATTACTCAAGATATTCAAACAAATAACAATTGACTAAATATATATTTTCACAAAACTTAAGAATTGCCAAGAGTAACCTATTTCTCACAAGTAAATAGCAACAAAACATATTTTAACCATTTTTCCTGGTCAAAATGAATGTCAGGGGACGACAGAGGGTTGGGAGGGTGGTCAGGGACTTAGTCAGGGGACATCAGGGAGTTGACAGGGACGTCAGGGAATGTCATGGGACATCAGGGGTTAGACAGTGGTAACAGGGGCAAAGTCACGGGACGTCAGGGAGTAGACAGGGTAGTCAAGAAGAAAGTCAGGGGGAGACAGGAAAATGTCAGGGACAGACAGGGGAACGTCAGGGGATTTTTTGGAATCTAAGGGGAAAATCATTACAGTAGTGTTAAGATCAAGACACCTCTAAGCAATCTTTGTGTAAAGTATGAACTTCCAGTGTCTTTCAATTAAACATTTGTTTTGTTCATTGATCTTTAATATCCAAAATGACTTTTCGTCAAAATGAAGTCATTATTATTCCCTCAGGTCCTAAAAAATTTCTATGCCAGTGTGGTCTTCCAGTGGTTTTTTCTACAACGTTGCAGGCTGGGCAGAAATGTACAGACAAACCAAGAGACAAACAGACGGACATGATTCCTATATACCCCTTCAATTTTTATTTGCCTAGGGATATAAAGATTAGTAATTGTTACCTTTTCCCAGAATCCTAGAGTGGTCTGTACATTTATCACATGTTTTTCCTGAAATTGACACTTGCACTGTGTTTCTTTAGCCTTGATTTTAGAGAGCTCACTTGCAAGGGTGAAAGATAGATCCTTCTCTTTACAAATAATGTTTTGACATTTGTATCCTCTGTGGAATATTTTTGTGTCAATAAATGTTTCTGTCAGTTCTTCTACTGCTTTATCAATGGAGTCTCCAATTTCATTTGATACATCTTTGTCTACAGTCAGTGGTTTGATTCTAAGCACCTGCAACTGAATATCATCATTGCATATGCCAACAACAACAGTGTGTGCATTGTGATCAAACACTGCTGCTGTTTGATAAAGACATGGACTTCCTTCATTATCTTCATCTTTTGCAACACTCCATTTTAGAAAACTTATGCAGTATGCTACCAGTCTGTAGAACACAAACATGGCAAAGGAAGTGAACCGAAAGCATAAAATGGATGAGCATTCCCATTTATCTTCAAAAAAGTCAGCTTTAAACTGCTTTTTGTTCATACATGGGACATACCATGACATGTCACCTTCTGATACAGCCTCAATTGCATTCAAAGGTACCAGCATTTGAAGTTTCTCCATGTATGACAAAATTTCACTTTTGTGTTTCGAGTACGAGGGTTCATCTTTCCACAAAGCATCTATCACTTTATCTTTAAGTTCCCCCGTTTTGTTGAAGGATTTCCACTCTTTGATTAATTTCCTTTTACAATCTTTATTGATGTGGTTTTCATCAGCAATTATCTTGCTGAAAGCATTAGCAAACCACTGAATGTCTAGTATAACATGTTCCCCCAATTTCCCTTCTTTAAAATACAAGAGAAATCCATTATCATGGAGACACTTTAGAAACTTAGACATTTCCTCATCACTTTTAATTCGGTATTCATTAGGAAGGGATGAGTTTAGCCTCCAAATTTCACCCAGGGACAAAACCTTCCAGGCTCCTTCATACAATAATTGTTCCATTAAAGTCCACGAAGAAGGCAATTCAATTTTGGTATTGTTCTCATCTGTAAATAATTTGACTATGGACTTTTTCATTGACTCCAGATTTCTTGTTGTTTCGTCATCTTGTTCCATTAGACCCACAGCATATTCACGGTCATTCAGAGACTCACTTAACCAATCTCTATCTTCGTCGGGTACAGCATTCCAGAACTCCCTAAAATACTTCTCTATTTCCTGAAGAAGGAAATAAAGCAAGCATGAAAATATTAATACATAACCACAGTGTGCTGTAATTTACTGTAATGCTAAATTATGCGTTGTTGTTTGAAAATCTCGAGTTACAGGTATTACAGCATTATATTTGGTACATAGTCTAAATTGATTACAGATAAAACTGTAGATCTGGTATCCATTGTAGAATAACAATACCACTTTGGATGTAAAGCAGTCAAAAGGTAGCTTCTCTGAATCGAAAGATTTTTTATAGGACTTGCATGCCCTGTATACACAATGTGGTCCTATACTGAAAACTTTTAGAAACTTAAAATTTATTTGAATGATTCATAATTCACAATAGTCGCCCGCGTGGCGCAGTGGTTAGAGCGTCTGCTCTAAGAGTCCTGAAGTAAGGAGTCGATCTTTACGTCGCGGGTTCAAATCCCACTGTGGGACGTGGAGACTGTTCCTTCGGATGAGACCAATTAAACCGAGGTCCCATGTCGCAGTAGGTGTTGGCACGAAAAAGATCCCTCACAACTCAATGGCCCTGAGTGCCGAGTATAGGAAAAAATTTGCAGCTCTCCACCGGCAAGTGGTGGCATCTCCATATGAGAGAAAAAATCTTAAGAGGGACGCCAAACATTAGAGAAACAAACATAATTCACAATAGAAACACTGAAAAAGTAAGAAAACCTTTTTTGACAACCTGGTTAATATTTGCATGGTTAGACCACTCATCCTCATTAATGATGTTACTTTTTACAGATATGGTTTGAATCCACCTGGTACTACATATTTACAGTTTTACGTTTTTCCAAATTCTTGCCTTTTTAAACACTATTTAATATTTTATCAATGCTTATTTATTTATCTTAAAGACTTGTCCTTTCTTGACATGGTATGCTCATCGTTAATCTTCAATGTTACAGGTATAATTAACTGGAACTATAGCTCCTTGAGGAGACAAGAGGCCCAAAGGCCTTAACGGTCACCTGAGTATAATACAACAATTTAGAGGATCCATAGAGTATAAAATGAACTGAAAGGTGAAGCTTTGTTGCCCAAAAGCAAGAAAAATAGGATGATCAGGATCAACAAAATAATTAGTCCAACATTCAGTAACAGTTCATAAATTAGGTTCTAATCTGTTCCCCATTTATCACCATATCCGTACAGTATATTAACAAACTATCAGTGCTTCTATACTATTTTAATTCCTAGTTGAAAACTCTTACATTGGCCTCTCTTGGTCTTTGATGAACATTTAATAAGACAAGTTATTTTTGTCTCATTTTTATTTATCTATTACTTAAAAGTCTAACTGATCATTAAAACTATGAAAGTACTTTTTGTATTATACAATTTATTTTTATTTACTCTTATTCTATTAACCTTTCAAATACATTATTTACAGTGATTAATTATCAAAAGTAAATGGCAAAGGGGAATGACTCCTCTCAGAAGAATACAAATTAACAGAGCCCTTGCCAGGACCAGAACACTTGACCAAATGTTCCAGATGTTCAAAAATCTGGTAAAAAATACCCTTCCTTATTAAAACATTCATTCTTTTTGCCTCTTATATTCCCATATACAGAGAAAATTTTTAAAGAAATAATGCATTTTTACTACAGATTCACTATATTATCAATAGAGCCCCCTCCACACCGAGAAACACCAGAGCCTCTGACCCCGGGACCAGAAGTTGCTCATTATAAGTGATCACTTTGTTTATCTGCTTAACACTAAGAAGCAGACAGGATAATTAAATAGAATTAATGCATTTTCACTATATCATCAAGAGCCCCACCCTTATGCCAACACACCTGACCAAGGGCTCATTCAATTCACTACTCTGGAAGAAGCACTCTTGCTCATCATAACTATACACATTGCTTCTTTGCTTTTTAACCAGAAGCAGAAAGGAATATTTTCAAAGAAATTTTGCTTTTTCACTATATAATCAATAGAGCCCCCCCCCCCTTTTCACCAGAGCCCTTGACCCTGGGGCCATGAAATTCACAATTTTGGAAGAAGCATCCTTGCATATCATAACAATGTACTTAGCTTGTTTAAATAATACCAAAGGGCAGAGAAGAAGATTTTCAAAGAAATAAATCACCTTCACTATAGGATCTATATATCCCTCACCCTAGCACCAGAACCTCTGTCCCTGGGGCCATGAATTTCACAATTTTGGAAGAGGCATCCTTGCTTATCATAACAATGTACTTAGTTTGTTTAAATAATACCCAGGAGCAGAGAAGAAGATTTTCAAAGAAATAATGCATTTTCACTAAATAATCAATAGAGCCCGCCCTAACACCTGAACCCCTGACCCTGGGGCCATGAAATTCACAATTTTAGATAAGGCACTCTTCATAACTATGTACTTAGTTAGTAAATTTAATACCAAGGAGCAGAGAAGAAGATTTTCAAAGAAATTATGCATTTTCACTATATGATCTATATAGCCCCACCCTAGCACCAGAACCCCTGACCCTGGGGCCATGAATTTCACAATTTTGGTAGAGGGCTCAATGCTTATTACAATCATGCCAACAGTTTGACTGGTTGATGTCCTGGAGTAAAGAAGAAAATTTTTTAAGATTGCATTAATTTTGGTGGTTTTATCCCAATCCCTCAGGCCCCAGGGGGCAGGGACTATGAAATTCACAGTTTTTTCCCCTTCACCCATAGATGCTATATGCCAAATTTTGTTGAAATTGGTTGAGCGGTTTCAGAGAAGAAGCTGAAAATGTTCAAATGTTAACGCACAACGCACGTCGCACGTCGACGGACAAAAACGGATAGCAATGGGTCACCTGAGTGACTCAGGTGACCTAAAAAATCAATCACTCTGTGTTACATTGTACTCATTACAGCAATTTGAGGAGCTGCAATCGGTTGCTATTATATATACATTGTACAATCTACGGTAATAAAAATCAGTCGTTAAGTGGTAGCATATCAGAACAACTGAATTTACCAGATTGCTACTCCAGCATGCTAGACATTTATGTTATGAAATATATGGAGATAACGAACAGTATTCAAGCTCAAGAGTCCATTAAACAATACAAAATAGGAGCAGAGCAAACACAAACACGGACCTCCAAACATCAGAGGTGGGATCAGGTGCCATGGAGGAGTGAGCATCCTCTGCCGACCGGTCACACCCGCCGTGTGCTCCTTGTCATGATCGGGAAATAACGGAAAAATCCGTCGACAATTCAGTGTGTAAATAATGGCCTAACAATTAGTATGAAAAACGTCAGTCAGCATTTGACTCAATGATAAATTGTATTTGCTGACAAGTTCATTACGAAATGATGACTTTAAACGAGACAGCTGATATTCTTGTTTCATCAACTTATTTGTCAATAATTTACCTCGTTTTAGAAATTGTACATACGTAGAGCATGCTCTTGCGTATCGAATCAACTGAGAGATATATACCCCGTATGCAGGTGATGAAGGTATATTGCTGCATAAGTAAGGGAAGCTGACGATTGAAAAGTTAAAGTCATCATTTTTATCATAAAGCTTGGTTGTTAGATTACCATTAACGTCTTTTTCAAGTAAAATATCCAAATGTGAAACAGTTGTGTCAGACTCTGTGGTATCTTTTATCTCAAGTTCACCAGGATATATCGTATCGGGTTAATGTATGAGTAGCGCTCCATTCCGTAATGGAGCCGAGGCCCCGAATGCCTTTCAATGAACATTTTAAACAGTAAAAATTATGTTAGGAAAAATGAAGCAACAACAAGAACTACAATGTAATACAAGAGGCCCTAGGGCCATAACGCTCACCTTATTTCTATGTAAAACTTTGAACCCTATTTGTGACCCCATCCTTCCCCAGAGGGCCAAGATTTAAAAAAAAAAATAGAACCTATATTATGCCAAAAAACTTTTTTCATTTTTTCTTCTGTTTGGGTTCAAAAAGATTTTTCAGTTTTCCCCAGTAAAACTCTGATCGCCTATTGTGGCCACACCTTGCCATTGGAACAAATATTTGAATGCTTTGAATCTAATCTACCTCATGATGCTTTCACACAAGTTTCAGCTTTTCTTGTCCAGTGGTTTTATAAGATTTTTTAACGAGTTTTTCCTATATATTTTAATGTAAAACTCTGATCTCCTACTGTGTTCCTACCATACCCCTAAGAGCCATGATTTGAAGAATTTAGAATCTACATACACTATCTCAACAAGTTTCATTTTTTCTGGTACAGTGGATCTTGTGACGATGATGATTTTTAATGACTTCTCCCTAGCTTTGCCTTGATTATCTCCCCTTGGAAGAAAGCTTGTCCCTTCTTTGAAAATTTAAAGCTTCCTTTACCAAAGGATGCTTTGTGCCAACGTGGTCAATTCTGGCCCAGGGGTACTTAAGAAGTTGAAAAATAAGAAATTTTTACAGAGGGAGAAACAGATACAGAGACGGATGAATGGACGCAGGACAACGGATGATCCATAAAGCTCACTTGAGATTTCAGCTCAGGTGAGCTATAAATGTAAAAGAAAGGAATTAATATACACATTTTGCCTATAGTCATCAACATAAATAGAAACCAATTCATTTTGTAAAGACAGTAACCAATCTTATAACCTAATAGGCCAAAAAATCTCTTTTTTTTGTATTTCTGATGTATGGCTGTACTTGTGCATTCTCATGATACGTTGGAGATCTGTTTATTTCTTTCTAATTCACATTTCTATAAGCCTGAATACTTACATATGTAGATTTTTTCTCCGTGTGTGTGGCAACAAGAAACAGTGGTGCTTTTTTGCCTCCAAATGTCTTCATTGAGGTAATCCAAAACTTCAAGTAGTCTAAAAGAAACAAAGATATATTAGTCTAACAGAACAAATAAAGCATCATGATAAAACCAGAAGTCTTTGATAAAACTGTATCTTTACTGGTGAGTAGTCATAGCAAAGGAAAAGAAAAGTAGCACTTTGACTTGTATCTTTGCAACAGCAATAACAATAGAACTAGAAAGTCTGCTATTGTAAGCAATAGCGTATGTCACCCTGAACTGAACCATAAGCTATAAGATTCTTCAATGCTTAAAGAAGTAAGCATTCGTAGACCCCCCCTCCCCCCCCTTTCCTTTAGGTTTGCTAGCTTTGGTCGGTAGAGAAAGTAGAGCAAGGTTCACGTCAAAACATGGCTGAAACAAATTAATTCCTGGATTTTCCTCTTCAAATCAGGCATTTTCTGCTTTGAACAGGGGCTGCTGTTTTTAATGAGATTTTAAAGTATGTGTAAACTTTTTTAGTTTAGAAGAATCATGAACACTTCCGACCTGCTAAATCTTTTGGGTAGAGTAGTAATGAGGTTTTCACAGAAAAGCGGGAGTGGATCCCGGGATTTTCAATGAACAAAAACGATGGAAATTAAATTTAAATAATTCTCAATATCACTGAATGAAATTATTTATATGCAAGTAATACATTCACCAAAAAGGTGAAATGCTATTGAATACAGCTGACAATTGCTACTTTTTATGAATAAATTTATTTTAAGTATAATAATTATAATTTCTATAGACAAAACAGCTGAAGAATGAATGCTGGAAAAATATCAGATTACATCAGTGGAACTGAATTTTGTTAATGAAACTCGAGATTTCTCTATCAATTGTAACTTTTATAGCTAGAGTATCTACTTCGCTGTTTCGAGGGGTGGGGGTGAGGTGGTGTGATAATACATATTGTCGTTTTGTACATATTGTCGTCTACGACAATATATACGTACCCTCACTGCACATATTGTTGTCCATCGGTAATACTGTCGCCGGCGACAATAGGTATCACGACGAGCCTTTTTTCCTCCTCCATAATGGACGACAAAATGTACAGTCACGCATCGGCACATTTTGTCATCGGCGACAATATGTACTGTGAGCATGTGCACATTTTGTCGTCGATATATTGTGTTGAAGAATGTTTGCTAAGGTCATGAAGAGAGAGAGAGAGAGATTGACACACACACAGAAGGATACACAAAGTGGATGGCGTATGGCAGATAAGTAAGCAAACAAGTTGTATTTATTTAGCATTACTCGCAATACTGTCGGGAGAAAAGGTTTTGGTCAGAAAATTGTGTCCAGGATTGGTGTACATCACTATGATATGTCAAGATACCGTAATTCTTGAGATATCTGATAAATCAGCCTATTACTTTTTTTCTCGTTATATATAATTATATACTTGGAGATTGAATGTTAATTTTTTTGTTCAGAAATAATGATTATCTGGAAATTATTTTTTGCGTTATTCTTATACACGTGCTGATATAATTGGTGTTAGGGCTGGCATTTTAGCTCACCTCAGCTGAAAGCTGAAGTGAGCATTTCTGATCATATTTTGTCTGTCATCCGTCTGTCTGCAAACATCACATTTTCAGCTTTTTCTCAAGAACTACTAGGCCAATTTTCTTTGGCGGATGCATGAACTGACACATGCGGTCGCGTAAAGTTTGGTCGCCCGCTAAATGGCATTCGAGCTAAAGAGCTCGATGCCATAAAAATGGAAAAATGCATCTTTATGTTGTCCACTTGTGTACCAAATCTTGTAAAAATTAGAGCAAAATTGTAGGAGGTGTAGCATATTGAAAGAATTTCATAGAAATTTCTATTTTTAGTAACTATAGCAACATTGTTCATCAAAATCAAAAAACAGATAAACAGAATTATGTATCTTAATGTAGTTTTGTTATGTACAAAGTCTTATTGAAATTGGACCAAAACTGTAGGAGGAGTCGCATTTTGAAAGAATTTCAAAGAAATTTCTCTTTTTAGTTATCATAGCAACATCGTTTGTCCAAATCAAAAAACGATACAGAGAATTATGTATCTAAATGTAGTCTACTTATGTACCAAGTCTTATTGAAATTGGATCAAAACTGTAGGAGGAGTAGTCTTTTGAAAGAATTTCAAAGAAATTTCTATTTTTTGTAACCATAGCAACATCGTTCATTTAAATCAAAAACTGGTATATAGAATTGTGTATCTTAATGTAGTCTACTTGTGTACCACGTCTTATTGAAATTGAATCAAACTGTAGGAGGAGTGGCGTTTTGAAAAATTGTTTACAGACAGACAGACAGCTAGATGGACGGACCAGGAACACCTTACCAATGCATAAGCTCTTCTGGTCTCAGACCAGTAGAGCTAAAAATTAGTGAAAATGTAGTGGCATCTTTCAAAAATCTCCTCAAGATGCATTGATAATTATGCCAGAAAAGTTTTGTGAAAAATTCATGAAAAAGAGTAGATTCAGTTTTATTCAGATAATGTCTATCGGGAGAAGGGTGGGTCTACAATAGGTGATCAAATTGATGTTTTTCATAGAATATACAGGAAAAATTCTTTCAAAATCTTCTTCTCAAGAACTACTGGGTCAGAAGAGATGATACTTATGTGAAAGCTTCATTACATAGTGTTCAATTTTGTAGGTGCTGGCACGAAAAACATCCCTCACTGCTCAAAGGCCCTAAGGCCGAGTATAGGTCTAAATTTGTAGCCCTCCAACGTGCAAACCGTGTAGCGTTTCGTGTAAACCGTGCAGCGTTTCATGTAAGCTCCAAAGCGTTTCGTGCAAACCGTGTAGAGAGCGTGCGAGAAGCGTGTGAGAAACGTGCGACTTTCGTGTAAGAACCGTGTGAGAAACGTGCGACTTTCGTGCAAGAATCGTGTGAGAAACGTGTAGGATTCATTCGGAAGTCCTTTCATTTTAAATATGACTATTGTTGGATCAACATGTCATTCTGTGTTGTTTGTAACTAATATTATTCGGATATATCATACCGGTGGTATTTTCAGAGTGAAAAAAAAAATACGGAAACAACAAAATAAAATTATTCGGTAATGTATTACATATTTGTTTGATTTTCTTTATTTATTTATTTAATAAAGATGGACAGAAAATGTGTTAAAAGTAATTAATTATATGCACATCAATTTTAAGGTAACTGATTTAATACATTTTTTAAAGGGAGCAATACTAAATATTCTTTTTAAAGAAAATTCACTAGGAATCCGGTCTTGTCCTTTTCATTCATTTATTTGAATATCTTCACCATTGTACATGGGATATAGAGATTACAAGAACATATTGGTGATTAATACAAAATAATAGATAGATACGTACATGTATGGCAGGCGTGAAAAATAAAATGCAAAATCTAGTGCGTTGCTATAAATGTGAAGTATAGGAATTCCAGGCCGGGGAGCACAGTTAATTGATTTTCTTTATGAACGAACATATTTTTCTTATATTACAAGATTGTGATACAAATAATTTCGCAAACGATGAGACATTTATTGTCTTTTTATGCATAAAATCGGTTGATTAATAAAAGTCATATAAATGAATTATAATTCACATGCATCGGCGTATACAAGGTTAAATATTTCAGGGGGGGGGGGGGGGATCAAATGAAAACACAAACTGAGTTTTTGTTGTAAACAAGTGTTTTATTGATAATTTTCTTTTGTAAGGAAATTATTGCTTTTTTTTTCGATGGGGTGCGCCCGATGCACCCTTAAAAAATATATTGGAATCTTCTTTACACTTTCAACATTCTTCTTATGACTGTGATCAAGGTCATTTACAACAGCGATCAAGGACTCAGCGTGCCGGGACTGAAAACTTGTTCTGCTATTATCTCTTGTCAATCATAGCTAAGATGACACCCGACAATAACGATCGATTAATTAAACGGTAATATAGATTGATTTTATTTCTTAAATTTATCCGATTGTCTGTAAGCAGTGAATGGATTTGCCAGTGTATTCGTGAATAAAATAATATAAAGAAATAAATCCTATATAATTATATATTAATTGTTTTTATTAATCATGCAGTTCTAGAGCATAATTTTTTTTTTTAGTTTTTTAGGACATAGGACATGTATACATATATATTGAATGTATTGTTAAGAGCCGCGACTATTGATTGCATAATTATTGATTTTTTTTTCTAAACGGGGTTTGGAATCAAGGATTTTAAAAGGTGGTTGATATATTGATATTTGATAAACACAATACCGGAAAAGAGAACGAAAGAATTACAATACATATCCCCCCGGTTTCTCTACCACATAAGATTTTAATGATAAATTAAAGTTTAACTCTGTAATGAAACGATATATTTACCATTCTGAATAGAGTGCATATAAATGAATTACATGAGTCGGGTCCCGCTGGAGACATGAACATTTTTTTTTTCTTAGAACGGGCACTTGTTTCTATAATAATTTTTTTTCCTGATTGTTTACTTACTGAAACAAGTGCCGGTTATATTTAGCCATGTACAGACAACAGTAAGATCTCGGTAATCTACCCCCCCCCCCCCCCTTCCTGCACAATGTTCCTGTTTGATGCAGTGCAAATTATAAATAGAGCCTAATTAAATCAAACGAAATTATTTTCTTACTAAATCAAAAAAAAAAAAAAAATGTATAAATCAATCAATAATAAAAAAAGAAAAAGAAAATCAATCCGTTTACAGAAATCATACGCAATTTAATCAATATTTTTTTTTTTCAAATATAACTGTGAAACTGAGTTTATTTCTCAGTAATAAAGTCAGTAATGGAACGACTTTTTAATATCAAACTATAATTGTAAAAACATTAAATGCTGTAAAAGATTATGAATTACAAATATAATTATTTTTTTCAGTGCGTAATTTAGAGTCTAGTGAAAAAAAGTTTGACGATGATAAGCATTTCACCGGGCGGGTTACATAGTTACTCAATGACAACTATTAATTAATTACAACTGAACATTGAGTATTTTATCTGTTAATATAGTACTGGTTTA